ATACAGTAGTAAATGGTTCTTATGTGGTTTCTTCATTGCCACAATTATTTAAAGACTACCACTCTGAGAACAGAGGTTCATACAGGTGCTTTCCATCAGGTATTGAAAACACCTGTGGATGTCACCGAGCAGCAATCAAGCATAATAAGCACCAATTAGGCAGCTTTAAAATGACTGTGATACTCAGCTCCTTCTAGACATTTACTGGTGTGGTTACAAACATGGTGAAGGCAAGAGAATGGTCCAGGAAGACAAGAGAAGAGGTGATTTCTCTTCACAGGAAGGGCAATGGCTATAAGAAGATTGCAAAGATGTTAAACATACCAAGAGACACCTTAGGAAGCATCATTCGCAAATTCAAGGCAAAGGGCACTGTTGAAACGCTTGGTCGTGGCATGCGCTATGAAGCGTAGAGTGAAACTTGAGGAACTGAGAAAAGATTTGTCAGATGTGGGTACAGAAGTTTCAACAATAAGACGCACACTGCGTAATGTGCCAGAACTCCCCAGGCGTACCCCCTTGCTGTCTCCAAAGAATAAGAAGAGTCGACTGCAGTATGCAAAAAGCCATGTGGACAAACCACAAAAGTTGTGGGATAGTGTTCTGTGGACTGATGAAACAAAATTAGAACTGTTTGGGCCCATGGATCAACGCTATGTTTGGAGGAGGAAGAACAAGGCTATGATGAAAAGAACACCTTGCCTACTGTGAAGCATGTGGAGGGTCAATCATGCTTTGGGCTGTTTTTGCTTCTGCAGGTACAGGGAAGCTTCAGCGTGTGCAAGGTACCATGAATTCTCTTCATACCAGGAGATATTGGATGGAAACGTGATGCAGTTTCACACACCTGAGGCTTGGGAGACGTTGGACCTTTCAACAGGACAATGATCCCAAGCATACCTCCAAGTACTAGAGCATGGTTGCAGAGGAAAGGCTGGAACATTTTGGAGTGGCCATCGCAGTCACCAATATCCGATTGAGAACCTCTGGTGGGACTTAAAGAAAGCAGTTGCAGTGCGCAAGCCTAAGAATTGACTGAACTGGAGGCCTTTGCCCATGAAGAATGGGCGAAGATACCCGTAGATCTTTGCAAGACACTTGTGTCAAGCTATGCTTCACGTTTAAAAGCTGTTATAACTGTAAAATGATGCTGTACTAAGTACTAAGATTGAATGTCACTTGGGGGTTGAATAAAACTGATAATGCTGTATTTGTGGTTATTTCATTATAACTGTTATGTTATATTTTGTCTGACCTACAAGTGCCTCTTTAATGTAAATGTAAGCAAGATGACTGAATGATCAAAAGCAATGTCAAACAACAGTGGGGGTTGAATAATTTTGGACACAACTGTATTTGTACACAGTCGTATTGATAATACACATTATTGTTATAGGACTAAAGACTTCTTTAATTTATAGAAAAAAAAAATATTTTTCTTAATTTTTTTATTAAATTTAAAAACCTAAACACAAGCTATATAACACAGAGCTCCCAGACACAGAAGTACATAATTTATAGTTATAAACATTGTTTCAATTATGCGTTGCATTCCATAGCAGTATCAACCAATGACCTCTAAATCATTTTCTAACAATTCTAAGCAGTGTGGTTGTCTATCATAAGGCACATCTTTACTCACGTTATGCGTTTTTTTAAGCCTTTTCTCCTACTAGAGACTCTTTATTTTAAATATGGTGTCAAGATGAACATAGAACAATAAAAAAACTGTTAGGGTATCCACCGTGCTACAGTATACAGTATACATTTTTTAAAAACTATAATGCCCCTGGTAACACACTAGTCCTCTTTCAAGGATAAAAAAAAATAAAATTTATTTCAGGTACTTATATATAACGCTGTCAATTTACGCAGTGCTTTACATATATTATACATTCACATCAAAGCAAAAATAAATAAGAATTTCAAAATAAAAAAGCAGTGTTGTGGTCTACCAATAATATAAATTTTTTATCTGTGCTAAGTGGTTTATCTCTTATCTCTTTCTAGAAGCTCTGCATTCTAATAATTCTAAATATTCTTTAAGATGAATAAATGGCCAGATGGCCATGCTATAGTATATAAAGAGTACAAATATAGTTACCTTAGAGATTTTTTTCTATTTTCATAGATATGTGATCCAGAGGTCCATGTCTTCTAAAAACAAAAAACAAAAACAACATGTGTTTATCAATTACTATACTTAAAAGGTTTTCATGAATGATTTACCCATGGCATTTATGTTTCATTAGTTCAAGTTGAGCACTAGAAAATCAGAGGGATGGCTACATTAAGTGTTTCACATAATTTTATTTAAAAGGTCCTTCTTCCCTCTTTCAGTCATCACCAAAGGAAATCTTATTCCCATCCCTCAGAGTGTGACACTGTTTATAGATGATCTTTTAAAGTGAACCTATGTCATGACTATGCACACTAAAGTACTTATATATTTTGACCAAGCCATAAAGTACTGTAAAACAAGTCTTTATTCACTCCTATAGCTATAGGCATTGTGGAAAAATAATTTTTAAAATTCACAACAGAGACATAGAAATCTAAGTTTATTTTCTACCACAATTTTGCCAGCTAGTTGCTATATAGCTATATTTTCCTGGAATACCTCAGGAAAATAACACATTATGTTCTCTGGATGGAAGATTACATGAGATTAGAATAAATAAAAAATAGTTGAAAATGCAAAAAAAGAATTACATGGTGTTCTTTTTAAAATAAAATGAGACAGGTTGCAAGTATTAATTAAAAATAATCATAACTGTTTACACTCACTGATTATAGTTAAATAAAATCCAGTTATTGAAATGGTTAGTATATTTTTTAACCATTCAAAACACAATATATTAAATGCTTGCAATGTCACAAAACAGTCCATTATAGACCATAGTAATAATGATAGTAATACTGGTGATATTTATCCCAGATGCCAATTTGTATCCCTGGATTGGCCCTCAGTTTCACTGCTGGTCTGGAGAACTGTGAGATGAATGTCTTTATCTCCGGTAATGGTGCTTGTTGTCCAGCTAATATTTGGATTTATGACTGCCTTCCTTTTACTGCTGCTCTGCATGTTGTTTGTAATCCAAGTGCATCAAACACTTCTCAGGATCAGGATTGCACATCAAAATTAGGCTCCTCCAGCATTGGATATTTCCTCTGAGGTTGGAATGGTTTACCACAAAAGGTAAATGCACAGAAGCATTAAGCACCTGAAACTAGGAACATTATTTAAATTAAATCCCCCACCCTTCCCCACACTGGTAATTCTATATACCAGATTCTCCCTCTTGCCACACTGGGAACCTGCCTACTGCTATCAAGCTAAGAGTATCAAATGCTTGTCCATTTATCAGTAAACTACCACCTGCCTGCCTAATGCCCTCATTGAGAGGTCACTGTTAGGGGTATACACATATTTAGAATTGTCAATACTCCCATCACATACATTCGCATAATAGGTGCTGCAGCAACAACTAGTTAGAAACTGGAAAGTGCGCACAACAGCATAAATCTTTTCCAGCACACCACAGATCTTCAGACAAAGTCTGAACAGTTTTTTTATTGAAGAGAGATCACAGCAAGGAAATGCAACATTTCGGAGACATGCAGAAGCCCTTCGTCAGGCATGTGATGTTCACGTGCCTGACAAAGGGGCCCTGCCAGGCCCTCGAAACATTGCACTTACTTGCTGTGATGTGATCTCTGTTCAATAAAAAAACTTTTTGGACTTTGTGTGAAGATCCTTGGTGTGCTTGCAAATATTTGCTCTGTTCTGTACAAATGCTTAGGATGAACTACGACAAACATACAATTCACTCCATTCAACATTGTAATGATTATTGCTAGCATTAGACACCAGAGCTTGGAGTAGTTTTCTTTAGAGTCCTGTTCCTAGGTTTAAATGTATCTTTCTGTAGTAAAATCCTTGTATTCTGTAGATGCATTAAAATAATGCTTAATCTGTTTCATCATATGAACTGTATAAGGTCTCATCCATACTGGGTGTTTAGGCCTGGTGCATGATATCCCGATGTTTTGAGGCTGGATGGTGTGCTTGTGCCTTCACCTAAACAACAGGATTTCATGCACCAGGCCTAACAGCACAGTGTGAATGAAGCCTAATTGTTGCCTTCAAGGATTTAATAGAAGTTTAATCCCTAGGTATTGCAAAGGATCCCACATTGTCTATTCTATCTGCAGAAAACAGTTAAAATAATTGGCGCTGAGAGGGGTCACTAGTAGAGTACACTATAATAATATAACAATAGAACTTGTAATAAAGGCATATGAACATATCACAATAAGTCCAGGAAGTCTTTAGCTTTAGCACTAGCAGTGGCAGCTCCCCATAGAGTGAAGCAAACTCTGTAGGAAATATAAGAAGATGCAAGGGAGCGCCAACCTAAGTGCAGTAAGTTAAAATAGTTTATTAAAAAGTTACAGCCAATAGCTACTCACAAAGGTAGGAAAATTAAGAGCTTTGAGAACATATCCTCGAATTGGCCAATGGGAGGGCCGATGCTGAGCCCGGGTTTCGAGAATGGAGTGGAGGGTGAGCTGTCAGCTGTCAATGAAGGATGCTAGGAACTAGCTCCGTAACCAGTGCGGAGCAGACGGAAGTCTGGATCGAGTGGGCGACCAATGGAATAGCGAGGACAGGTCAGGTGACGTGTCAGGTGGCTCGTTTCAAAGCTTCCGCTTCTTCTTCAGACCTGCTTCAGGTCTGAAGAGGATATGTTCTCAACGCTCTTAATTCTCCTATCTTTCTGAGTAGCTATTGGCTATAACTTTTTATTAAACTATTTTAACTTAGTGCACTTAAGTTGGCACCCCCTTGTGTCTTCTTCTGTTCTATCTGCAAGTTTGGATGGGTTTCACTTACAATGCTGGCAATAATAAATGCTAGTTGAATATAAATCGAAAACTTGTCAAAGTCACTGTCATCAGTTGTCAGATGTAGCCAGGGGCGGACTGACAAGTCATGGGGCCCCCCCCGGGCAATAGGGGATCATGGGGCCCTTGTGTCCTTGCCCAAACTCAAAAAAGCCTATGAAAAAGGTACCAGGGGCATCTCATAGTGTCCCCTACTGACCCCGGGCCCTCTCGGGCAGTGGCCGAGTTTCCAAATGGTCAGTCCGCCCCTGGATGTAGCAGTACCTGGCTGTGGCATTTTTTATCCTCACCTGGTTTGTAATGGAAAGCCTAACATACAGATACATCAGACTGATAATGAAACTATCATACATACAGAAAGACACAACTAAATCTACCTGGTCAAACTAGACATATCACAATGTGCCCACGAATAGTATGGGTTATTCTTGTCTTTAACCAAGCTTAAATGTTGAGCAGTACAAGACCAAGGTGATCAATATATCAGGAATGTATAATGGCACTGTAGTTCAACCCCAATTATCATTGTTACAGAAACAAGTGCTCCAGGTACTATATAACTTTCTGTAGAACACACATTTTTGTTTGGCACTTTTTGCTGGCTGATAGCTAAAAAGAGTGGGAGATTTAAATGGAGAGTGAAAAATAGTCTTATGTTTGACTGCTGGTGATTGCTGGTAATTGTAGTTGTTTTATTTTCTTCTTTGGGTCTTGCTAGAAGCTTTTACTTTTTTAAATAGCATTTTCACTTTTTAAATAGCATTTTTTTTCTTCCTTTCTTTGCCTTCCTTCAGTCTACTAATTAATGGGAGGGGTCAATTGGTCAAAGGTGCTACAATTACTATATAACTTTCTGTTGAGCTCACTCTGAGCTTGCTCATCCTCTGGACCTCTGATCAAGTGGACATTTGATAAGTGGAGTTAAAAAACCGGAGTTGAAAACAGGAGAATATAACAGGAGTCTACTAACCTGTAAGTGACATCTGATATTTCCTATTAGTAATATTAATATTGTAACTGGGATATGAGTGCTATCAGGGTGGAAGTTTTTGTGCAGTGCACAGGTGCCACATGTATGCAACAATGGAGCAACAGCTCCAGGGGATACTGCTGCGACAGAGGAGGCTGGGTTGCCCTTCTGGAAGCTCACGTTAGATCTGGAGGAGCAAGTTGCGACACTGGGCAGAACCCAAACTGTGAAAGGGATGTTCTGACAAGTCCCTGAGCAGGTAGCTAATGGGGATTGATGTGGAGGGGCTAATCAGAGTATCAGGTAGGAAGATGGGTTACTGTAATGAGAGGGAGTGGTAGGGGCTCACAGAAAAGGAAGGCTGTCCCTGGGTTTGTGCACCCAAATAGATTTGACAAGTTGGGTGAAGATGTGGGGGTGGCAAGCTCAGGGGTGGCAGCCCTGGATGTCACTGCTATCCCTAACAGACAGGAGGGCAGACCATCTGGGAGAGGTGGTGAGGGTAGTGCAGGAAGGGCTAGAGAGTTGGTGGTAATAGGGGATTCTATAATCAGAAGGACTGATAGAAATAATTTCTACTGAATGGTTTGCTGTCTCCCTGGTGCCAAGGTTAAGCATGTGGTGGACCGAGTTGATAAATTACTTGGAGGGGCTTGGCATGACCCAGTTGTCTTGGTCCATGTTGGAACCAATGGCAGAATACATGGAAGGTGGTGGCTCCTTAAGAATAAATTTAAAGAACTAGGCTGCAAGTTGAAGGGAAGGACTTCCAAGGTGATATTCTCTGAAGTATTACCTGTGCTATGCGCAACTCAGAAAATACAGAGGGAGATTAGAGAACTAAATGCATGACTGAAGACCTGGTGTAAGAGGGAAGGATTTGGGTTTCTAGAGCACTGGGCTGACTTTTCATTGGGGTGCAACCTATATGCTAAAATGGTTTGCACTTAAATGGAAGGGGGTCTGCTGTGCTGGGGGAGAGGTTTGTGGGAGAGACTGGAGGAGTATTTAAACTAGGATCGAGGGAGGAGGGAGAATTAGATTATAATGGGGTAGACAGATCAGACAGGGGTCAGTTCCTATTGGTGGGAGGAATGGGGAAAGATGGAGGGAGAACTATGGCAGATAATAAAAAGGTTCCCATGTTGCAAACAACCATTGAAATTGGTACCATTTGTATGAAAATAAAAATATGCAAAATACGTGTGCACAAGGTGTCAATGCATTAAAGTTTTTGTTCACCAATACCAGAAGTCTGCCAAACAAAAAAGGTGAGTTGGCAGCTTTGGTGCATGAACAGAACTATGATTTTATTGGTATTGCTGAATCTTGGCTTCATTATTCACATGACTGGGCCATTAATATTCCTGGCTATGTTCTCTTTCGGAGAGACAGGAAAAGGAAGGAAAGGTGGTGGTGTCTGTTTCTATGTTAGAAGTGATCTCAGAGCGAGTCTGAAAGAGGACCTAGTTGAGGGAGAGTGTGATAAGGCTGAAGCATTAAGGGTGGAACCGCACATGGGGGTGTGTACTACAAAGGTAATCATTGGAGTTTGTTATAGGCCTCCCAGTGTTAATGAGGAGGTGGAGACTCAGCTCTGCACATATCTAAAGGGCTGCAAGGGCTGGGACAGTGATAATAATGGGGGGTTTTAACTACCCTGAAATTGACTGGAGTAATGATACTGCAGGAAAAGTTAAAGGGCAAGAATGTATAAATCTACTACAGGACAATTATATGGTACAGTTCATAGAGGCCCCAACTAGGAATGATGCTCTGCTGGAGCTGGTAATCTCAAACCATGCAGAACTTATTATGAATGTCCATATAAAAGAACATCTGGGTAGCAGTGACCATAACATGATTTCATTTATTGTTAGCTGTAAACAACAAGCACATACGGGAAAAATAAAAACACTCAACTTTAAGAGAGCTAATTTTCCAAGACTTAGACTGGGAGGGAATATTCGCATCGATGAACACAACACACTGATTGCTTTTACACCCATAAAGGCTATAAAAGCAATCATTTCTCCTTCTCTCTGGCTGCATTCTTACAGCCATTGAGAACTACTGAGTGAGCTGTGATTGGTCACAGCTTGTCACATGGTACAAGGCTGTTGTGAATAGCCTTGTACCATGTGACCTCTGTGATCATTCACAGATTTCATACATAGTAAGCAATGATGTCACAAGTGACATCTTGCTTACTACTCTGTATATGATCACTGTTTGGCCAATCAGTGATCACATGATCGGGACCTCACACAGAGGTTCCATCCGACGATCGGTGTTCCACTGTGTCTGGAGGACACAGCAGGCACCGGATCGCGGTGCTGCGTGCTCCAAGAGAGCGCGCACAACTAGAAAATGCGGGTGCCGTTTATGAACGGCAACCCGCCCCTAGAGTGACACCGTCCTGCTGTTAAAAAACAGAAGGCGGACAGCAAGTGGTTAAATATAAAAATGAAGGAACGCTATCATTGTTTAAGTGTTACAAAGAATATAACAGAATATGCAAAAAGGAAACAAAGGCCGTGAAAATTGAAAACGAACAACAGATTCCAAAAGATAGCAGGACAAACCCCAAAAATTCTTCAAATATATTAATAGTAAAAAGGCTCAGTCTGAGCATGTAGGCCCTTTACAAAATAATCTATAGTGGGTGACTGGGGACAAATAGAAAGCAAATTTATGAAATATCTTCTTCAGCTCTGTGTATACAAAGGAGCATGGGGGAGCTCTTGTCCATAATGGGCATGGTATTGACACACACCCAGATGATCCACATTGGCTCACAACTGATATGATCCAGAAATATTTAGACAGAATAAAGACCAGAAGGCATACACCCACGGGTCCTTAAAGAATTGAGCTCTGTCATTTCAAAGCCATTGTTTCTCATTTTTAGGGACTCTTTAATAACTGGCATAGTACCACTGGATTGGTGTAAGGCCAATGTGGTGCCAGTATTTAAAAAGGGGTCAAAATCTTTACCAAGTAATTATAGACTGTTAGTTTAACTTCTATAGTTGGGAAGATACTGGAGAGTTTAATAAAAGACCAAATAGATGAATTCTTGCTGGAAAAAAATATTTTAAGCAACAGACAGCATGGATTCATGAAAGACTGAAAGACAGAAGTTGTTAAACAAATCTGATTTCTTTTTATGATGAGGTGAGCAAAACCTTGGACAGAGGGGTGGCGGTGGACGTGGTATACTTGGATTTTGCAAAAGTGTTTGACAGTTCCCCACACACAGCTAATGTGTAAGGTAAACTCTACGGGCTTGGAAATATCAGCATGTAAATGGATAGAAAACTGGCTAAAAGAAGGTATTCAGAGAGTAGTGGTTAATGATTCATACTCTGCATGGTCTAGGGTTGTCAGTGGTGTACGCCAAGGTTCAGTTTTGGGACCCTTACTTTTTAATATATTTATAAACGATATAGGGTCTGGGATTATAAATCCCATTTGCAGATGACACCAAGCTGTGCAGTGGAATAACGTCCTTACAGGATGTCTCCAATTTACAAGCAAATGAGATTTAATGTTGATAAATCTAAGGTTATGCACTTGGGGGCTAAGTATATGCATGCATCATACATACTAGGGGGGTACAACTGGGGGAATCAATGGTGGGGAAGGATCTGGGAGTTCTGGTAGATCCCAAGCTTAATAATGGCATGCAATGCCAAGCTGCGGTTTCTAAAGCGAGCAAAATTATCTCTTGTATTAAAAGAGGTATAGACTCCAGAGAGAGAGATATCATTTTACCCCTGTACAAATCATTAGTAACACCTCATCTGGAATATGCAGTTCAGTTTTGGGCACCAATTCACAAAAAGAACATTGGGGAACTGGAGAAAGTACAGAGAAGGGCAACTAAACTGATAAGAGGCATGGAGGAGCATGGAGGAGATCAGCTATGAGGAAAGATTAGAGGAACTGAATTTATTCTCTCTTGAGAAGAGGAGATTAAGGGGGGATATGATAAACATATATAAATAAATCAGTGGTTCCTATAGTGAACTCGGTGTAGAGTTATTTATCCTGAGGTCATCACAGAGGACAAGGGGGCACACTTTACGTCTGGAGGAAAAGAGATTTAATCTCCAAATACGGAAAGTTTTCTTCACAGTAAGAGCTGTGAAAATGTGGAATAGACTCCCTCAAGAGTTGGTTCTGGCCAGCTCAGTGGATTGCTTTTAAAAAAGGTCTGGATTGTTTCTTGGATACACAGAATAGAACTGGTTACTAATATTTATAGGTAAAGTTGATCCGGGGAATATCCGATTGCCTCTCAGGGATCAGGAAGGAATTTTTTTCCCCAGCAGGAGCAAATTAGATCATGCTTTGTTGGGTTTTTTGCCTTCCTCTGGATCAACTATGGGTGTAGGATTAC